TCGCTTGCTTATCAGTAGAAAGTATGAGTCGAATAAAAATGAGATAGTTGGGACGATCAAGTGAATTTGGAAAATTAAAAAATAAAGAAAAGATAGTAAAATCAAATCATAACTTCCGATTAAGTCTTGTTCATTTCCTGTCCAATTGTTCTTTACTAATGAGGTTATGCGAGAAAATGGAAATTATTTTATTGACCTCATCGGTAACTACGTCTTAAATGAAAAATTTGTGAAAGAAACACCGAATACAAATACAAAATTAAGCCCTTTTTAGAAAAATGGGATGATCAAGATATGAATGATGAACAAAAAAGATTAAATTATGCGCGTAAAGTTATTTTGTAGTATTTTAATAAGTTTTCGCTCTCTAAATCTGCAGATCAAACAGTAGCTTTCAATCAATAGTTACCATGGTTACAGTGCCTTGACAAAGCCTAGAAGTACAAATATCAAAATCTTCGGGTCCAATTTGCAATTTGCATATAATTTAGAAGATAAATACAATTAATATAAAATAAATGTAATTAATGGCCAACAAGGAAGCTTTGTTCAGATTACACTGTTACCATGGTTACAGTATTTATTTTACTATTATGCTATTTATTATATTATTATTGTACAGCACGTGGTATTTATTGATTATAGAGTATAGAGTGAAACTTGAAAGCAGTGATATTATTGGAAATATCAGAACAGTTTTTATGAAAATACCAAGATAACTAATAATGTTACTCTAGATCCCGTTATATTGGAGTTCTGTAGCACACATATAAAGTAGCCTGGAGGAGTTTATAATTGTAATATCTCTTCTACTCTGCAGTACGCACTAAATCATCTTCCCAACTTATTGCTCAAAACATGCTCAACCTGCTAAACTAATTAACTCTTATCCAATCAGCTGACACTTTTAAATTGGCCAGGAGATTATGTTCCCAATCTCAACTATTAGATAATACTCCTTTATAAACATTTCCAATGAAAGGGGATGTAGGAAACCAAGCTGATCAACTGATTGAGGGTTTAAATTTGAATACCCTTATCTCTAATCAGCGCATGTTCCAACTCCAATTAAGGTGACACTTTTAATTGAGTTACCATAGCAACAACACATATCATTAATCTAATTTAAATAATCAGCGTGTAGGGGGATTAATCGCCTAATTCACCACGTGACTAAAACTAAGTTCCGCACTGCAGGACACGTGTCAGGTCACGTGTCCTGTCAGCTTCTTAGCTCCGGATATAAATAAGCACTCAGTTCAAAGTGGGTACGCTGTTTTTTAGTTTGTTCACTGTGCTCTGTCATTTATCATTACCCTTACTTTATTCACAACACCATAGTTTTTTAGATGCTCTATCGTTTCAGTATCATTCCCTCATAATTCTCACTGGCTTACCAAGAATATACCTTCAAATATATTTGAATGGACATTAATTAGATGCTGGAGGCCCTAGCGTTCATTTTAATGTCCGTTCAAATCAAGTCCGACTAGGTAGTTTAAGTTAAATTAAATACATTAAATGAATCCATTCGAGCGTTGATTTTAATGTCCGTTCACGCAAGTGAGTAACGGGTCCTTACGTAAACTGCTTTATTAATATTAGTCCTGAAATAGCACAAGCTGATAAACCCACCCAAGCATATCCAGAAATAGCCTTTATAGAACTGCCCCAAATTGGCCAGGGACCCTAGTTTCCGCTCCAGGGGCCTGGAATGAGAGGGACCCTGGTTTCCGCTCTGGAATGAGACTGTAAAATATGCACCACATGCTGTAATGGCGAGCGGTGGAATGCGGCGGAATGCGGGGTGACTGTTTGTCTGATGACGCGTTGTTTACAATTACATGGGTAGCTGTCCCCTCCGCCTCCTCTACAAATAGGGGGCTCATTACGTCACTCATTTTAAAGCAGATACAAAGCTTTCTCTCTGCTGTCTGTAACGTGATGAATGTGGTTCACTGCATGACAATATGCCGAAAAGTTCTCTACCTCACAATAATATACCGAACTGGGAATCATTAGTAGGGGTAGTAAGGGTAACAATTATATTTTACAAAGGAGCAGGGTAGTTAGGGTAACAATTATATTTTAGTTTACAGGTTACGCTAGGATTATAATCTTGAATATAAATCTGTTGAGTGAAAGTAGAAACATCGTGATACAAACGTGTTTTAGCAAGTCATATCCGAGGTAGAGGCGGCAGAAGTAAAAAGGGATTTTGTAGTGCGTGTTTTAGCATGTCTGCTGTTCAATGTTTCTGGTTTTTGTTCAGAGTGGTTCCTATAACCACTATATAAGGATTTTCCCTTTCTGTGAGTAGCCTCAGTGTCCCTCAGTGTCCCGCTCAGTGTCCCGCTCAGTGTCCCTTAGTGTCCCCTCTACCAGATACTCACTTAATTGACAAATGGAGTCAGATAATTGTCATTGATTCTTCTGAACAATGTGACACTGTTTCTTATTATAAGTAAAACATCAGCAGAGGAGTGTTGCCATGACAACAAGGAATGTGACTAGTTTTATGGTTCTGTATCAGGTCCTGACTGGTGCAATGTCACGTGACAGTACTACAGTTGCCTGGCGACAGCTCCAGCTCCTTTATAAAAACAATAACATGTGAGACATGTGACTGGACTCAACGTGACCCCTCTCAGGCCCGCTGATGAGTTCACCCTGATTTGACGCACTGCACTGGGTTTATCTTGCCGAGTTATTGTAGCGGCTTGCTTTCATCTCCCCCCAGTCTCAACTAGTAGGGCAATGATCAGAGCCGCTCATTAGCCAGCTCTCAGCGCTGCTGTTACCCTCTCCCTCATCTAGACGGATAATCTAATCCCCCGTCACGTGGTGTGAATACTGTGCTCTGATTGGTTAGTTTGTGTCACGTGGTGTGACGTGCTGTGTTCTGATTGGCTGCTGTTACCCTCCTGGCTGATCTAGACGGATAATCTAATCCCATGTCTCCCCCCTGCTCCTGTATAAACAATCGGAACAGTAATTGTCCCTACTCACCTACTTTTTGAAACAATCTCTATAAATATACTCCTTTATAAATACATTTGACCACTGGATCAGTAGGACTGTTCATAGTGGCGAGTATTTGAATACCTGTCACTTCACCGTCTCAAGTAGTTTTGTTGGAGCGCCTCTTGTTGTTACCAGGGTTTCTACACCTCACAGTGCCTCCCCTAGTGTAACCTGAGCCACTGTTATTGTCACGTGACATTGTGTCAACAAACAGTTAGTAATAATAACAGGTAAACAGTTACTTTATCTGTTTGTTATGCGTCATTAGCCCTGTTTTTACTAAGATGACGCAATACTGTAACCATGATAACTAATGACGCAATACTCGCCCTTCTCTTCCGGTCCGCTCAACTGCTTGTCTTGAATCCGTGAAATCACTTCTTTCCTCGACTCAGACCATCACTTGTTCTTTTGATCTGCGATATCAGCCCAACCTGCTCTTTTGATCTGTAAAAGAGAAGAACGACCTGTTCCTGACGCTTTATCCCGTTCTAACTTCTAACTTGATACCTTCACCCAAACTCTAACTAGTCAACATTGATACGAGTTGTTGTTCCTATGGAAACTTCTTCCTTTGGTAACGAACAGTCCCGTTTCTTATTTGTCCAATCCAACATGTACTGTCTCATCTTCAGCTGACTTGTCGCACTTTTGTAAACGTGAATGTTTTTTAATGATCCTATGCTTGAAGGCGCTCCAATTGTTAAGCAAACTGTTGAAAAGTATACAGTTAGAAGATGTGTGCTAAGTACGTTACTCCTTTATAAATATAACTCTCCCAATCCCTCACTGTCCCACTCAGCAGTGCTTGTAAACAATTACCAGATCCTCGCAAATCTAGTCTGCGTTATAACGGCACCAATTTAAACGCTGTTTTTATAACATGCAGTGACAATCTGACTCAGGATTTTCAAATTAAGCGTCTATTCAGTTTAGAAGGTAATATTTATAAAGGAGTTTAGAAGCTGCTGCACTTCAATTGGCCGGGTTACAGTTGCTCGCGTGACACGCCAATTGTCTGCCTACTTAAGTCCGCGTCGAGCAAAGCAGGAGTAGTTGTAGTCGAGCAATAGGTAGAACACAGTGAGCACTCAAGCGCAGTATTCTACTGAACCACCAGTTTAGTAGTTGTAGTTGTTATGGTTACAGTTCCCATAGTAACCTGGCCTGGTCTAACCTACCTTCACTACATCACGTCTACAAGTGACCCCCATAGGTATTTACCTGGGCTACCTAGTAAAGTAGTTGCTCCTTTATAATAAAAGTAGTTGCTTTATAATAGATCCTTCTATTAAAACCCTTCAACAATAAGTACTTACCTATCATTGGGATAATTTGACCGAGTATTCTATTCATTGTCTAAGCTGTTATCTGTTTTAATACTCAACTGATAGGACCCTTAGTTTACAAGATAGTATTAATAGTACTGATCTAGCTTAGCTACTAACTACCTACCTACCTATTTATTGGTCTGTAGTGCTGGTTACCATGGTTACCATGGTTACCATGGTTACCCACCAAGTGGTTTTTAACAGGTCTAACGGTTAGACCAGTATACCTAGCTAAAAGCACTACAGTTGCTATGGTTACAGTTTCTATAGTTACCGCATACTATAACCAGTCTTACTGATTCTAGTTTTACTAACGCGTTATCTGGTGCTGTTAAAGTTCCAGTATATATAGTTATAGTATTCCTTATTGTCCTCACTTTCAGCTAGCTACTTTGTAAAGCTTACTCATCTGGAAAGCTTTGTTTTATTTCCATATTTTCGCTCAGCATTTGACTATTATAAGTTTAAAGCAAATTCAACATTTTGAAGACTTATTCGCTGAATCTTTTACAAATGATAATCCGAGTTAAAATTTCAACTCACAAATATAAAATATACATATTTTTTTATATATATATATGTATTAATTATACAATCTGATTTAAGTTCATTTAACTTCTAAATAACCTAACTTCTAATTTTATAGCGCGATGGTTCAGTTCGACAAACAAAGACAACTCCTGTATAGACTGATAGTGAACCAGTTGTATAGTGATGGATTAGCTCACTTCGCAGCCCCTATTGGACTAGCTGCTGGTCTCTCTTCCTCTCTTCTCATCCCCTCCAGTCAGTATTTTATCATCACATTAATTATTTTAAATTATTTAAATGTAAGTTTTAAATAATGAAAACGTTTTCAATTTTTCAGTTTGTTTTGCGATTTGTGACGTTTTCGACTTGGTACGCTCATATGTTTATAATATGTAATTGTATAAATTACAAATTTTATAGATTGTAAACAATGATCAATAGCTGATGTAAGTTGTAAGTTGTAAGTAAGTTATTTGTGAGTTGTAAGTTATTTGTAAGTTATTTGTAAGTTATTTGTTGTTATAATTTGGTTTGCTTCAGATCAGCTGTACCAGCTGGTGAGCATGTGCTCCTTGTGGGGGACCGAGACTGTCCGACAAACCGACTCCTGTCACCCTTCAATCAACCCTTCAATCAACTTATCTCAGATGCTAAACTCTCTTTCCAGTTTACAGGTACTTACTTCATGCTTTCTTCAAGCGTAGCATCACAAATTCCGTCAAATAATGCGTGCTCCTTCATAATAATTAATAAATTTAATAATTTTCCAGGGCTGTCCGGAATCTTGTCTGTGACAGTGAAAATTTAGGTACTTAGCCTGATTTATGAAGGAGCACAATTTATGATGATTTAAGGGTTGGGATTGTAACGGCGGCGCACAATTTGAAATTAAGCCCTAAACAGAGATTAGTGCCAAGTTTCTGGGCTCCAAAACCCATTAGACGCATTGATTTATGAAGGAGCATATTAGACGCATTGCAATTACAGCTGGCCTATTGTTCCAGCAGTTAGGGGATTTATTCACTAACTCTCTTTCTAATTCCGACCTGAATTCCTGGACTGATTTTGTAATAATTCTTTGTATTGAGTCGCACTAAACAGAGAAATGTTATTCAGAATCAGATGGGAGAGGGAGCCCCGCTGATTATGATGCAGCAGCAGCAGCAGCAGCAGCAGCAGAACAACCCTAACAACGCCAATCAGATCCCCTCCGCAAACAGCCAGATCCCCTCCGCAAACAGCCAGATCCCCTCCGCAAACAGCCAGATCCCCTCCGCAAACAGCCAGATCCCCTCCGCAAACAGCCAGATCCCCTCCGCAAACAGCCAGATCCCCTCCGCAAACAGCCAGATCCCCTCCGCAAACAGCCAGATCCCCTCCGCAAACAGCCAGATCCCCTCCGCAAACAGCCAGATCCCCTCCGCAAACAGCCAGATCCCCTCCGCAAACAGCCAGATCCCCTCCGCAAACAGCCAGATCCCCTCCGCAAAGCAAACCCCTCTCAAGACAGCAGAGGAGGATCAGAGTGAGTCCCAATTAGTTATTAAACAGTGGTTATAACTAATGTTTCTATTGCTAGAGGTAGCCCGTGTCCGTAGTACTGCTAGTAGCTAACACATGCGTTTTTCAGATGACAGGAAGTCACCACGAGTGATGTTTGGGAACTACACTTCCTTCCCCCACCCTGTACCGAATGTTAACGCTTCCAGTCTCAGTGAGTTCCTCTCTCTTCACCACCCACATTATTGCTTTATATCTACTCTCACTACTGATCAGCTAATCCGAGTGAGGGCCGTTTTAGCTGCCCCAGCTTCTCTCTGTCCCTTCTCTCTGTCCCTGTCTGCCCCTTCTCTCTGTCCCTTCTCTCTGCCCCTTCTCTCTGTCCCTGTCTGTCCCTGTCTGTTTTTATAACACCCTTACTTTTCAGTATCTTCCCCGCCTGGAGTGTTCCGTCCCACGTCCTTCAAGCCTGTAGTGAGCGGCCGAACCCCCCTTACCACCACCATCAACTCTTTATTCAAGGAGTTTAAATCAGACTTATCAGACAGACCCCTCAGCTTCAAGAACGAAGTGCTCGAAACCAACTCTTATCTGAAGGAGATTAACGCGCTAGTCGAAAACTTGGAGAAAAACTCTCGAGGTAAATTACTTTTACAACCATGCCTCTGTAGCACCAACTCAGTAAAAGTGTCACGACAGGCCCTATGTGCGTGTCCAGGAAATGTTTGTTTTGTTAATGGTGACTGATTATTATTCAGGTTTTGTTGCCTTCTAATCACTTGTTGATCTCCTAATCGGATCTCACATATTTCCGGGCCTATAATTGAAATCGCTCAGTCTCTCTCAGTAATTGTAAGTTGTTCAGTGAGAGATGATGTAACTGCAACTTAAAACCTTAATCCTCAAACACAGTCCAAATATCGTTTTACCACCAAAGCTGTAATTGAAAAGGTCCCTTTAAAATGTAGAAACTAATAGCTCTAACTAATTAGCTAATTAACTAATTAGCTAATTAACTAATAGCTCTAACTAATTAGCTAATTAACTAATAGCTCTAACTAATTAGCTAATTAACTAATAGCTCTAACTAATTAGCTAATCAACTAATAGCTGTAACCTTCCCCAGATATCCTGAAACCAGCTGTGAGCAGTATGATGAAACCTATTCCAGAGCTGATGACAGTTGATAGCTCCCCCCTCAGAACTCCTCCTCTGACGCCTACAGAACCCTCTAACCTCACTTCTAACTTCACCTCTAATCTTGCCTCAACCCTCACTACCACCATCAACAGCATGACATCTAGTATCTCCACTCCTCCTAAAGACACTGGGGATATCACCAGTCCTCTCATGTCACGTATCAATACAGGTTAGTTGCTAGGAAATATTTAGTTGCTAGGAAACAGTTAGTTGCTAGGGAATAGGGTGATAGTTGCTAGGAAACAGTTAGTTGCTAGGAAACAGTTAGTTGCTAGGGAATAGGGTGACAGTGTGTATTGTGTTATAGTCTGATACTCATGGCTTAGTGGAGGTTTTAACCGTGAAGTAGTAATATAACTATAACTATATTTTATCTTCTGATCGGTTAGTTTTTGTCACGTTGATAAAGTGTTCTAATTACCTCCTTGCAGAGCTGACTGGAGACTCCCCAATGGGGCCCACAGATCTGCTGATGCTAGGCAACCTGGTGGCTCAGGCTGCTAACAACAACTCTATAGCTCCCGTACAATTTCCCGAGAGTCCTGTCAAAACTCCTGCAGAAATCACTCAAAGGTAAGATAACCTTACTAACATACTCTAATAATGTACTTTCAACACTACTATATAACAAATAATTTGAGCATGAATACGAAGTTGTTACTTTGAAACGTCGTTTATCCTAACAGTGCAGTATCATTTGTCGCAAAAATCAGAATAATCAGAAATTATTTGGAACTCCCAAAAACTGTCTATACTCTAAAGAGTGTATAATAAACTCAGTACCAGATTAATAGTGAAACAGTCTCTCAAACAACTAACCTCTAACTAACACTAACCACTAACCAACTAACCTCCCCAGATATTTAGTCCAGCAGCTGACTCAGAGTAGCAATGGTTTGAACCTCTCTTCTCAAACCGTCTCCAAAGGTCTCAAGTATCTGCACGATCACATGAGTCTTAATCCTGTCAACCAGACTCAACAAGGTCAGTCCTTTTAGATAATATTCCTCCGCAAGCAACCCTAACCCTTTTAGATAATATTCCTCCGCAAGCAACCCTAACCCGTAACCTTTTAGATAATATTCCTCCGCAAGCAACCCTAACCCGTAACCTTTTAGATAATATTCCTCCGCAAGCAACCCTAACCCTTTTAGATAATATTCCTCCGCAAGCAACCCTAACCCGTAACCTTTAATATTCCTTCAACCATCAAGCTATTTTAACAATCAATATCGTACCCCCAATATTGGCAGTGCTATTTGCGTCCCTTCGGTCAACTCTGTTTTTTGTCGGTGTTTTTTGTCGGCTGATTTTCGTCAACACATTGGTATTTGTTAAATTAGAGTTGTCGGTAATGTCTGGTCGCGTCCAGGCCTCCACCTCTAAAAGAGGTGCCGTTTGGTGAGATAAACTTGTGGTTTGCCTTGTAACAAGGTCGGCACCCGGACTGCACCCACTGCGTCTCCTGACTAACGATCATTTGTCAGCTCCCTTGTCTTCATTACATATACTGTATTTATAAAGGAGCACATATACCCGCACATGATCTCTCCGCTCGGTCCGGTCTGCTTTGTCACACTCTGATAATTGCGAGCATGGTTCAAAGCTCTGCACTTTCCCTTTGAACAGGGTTAAAGGACCTGTTTCTAGACGGCCGAACAGTAGCAGTAACTAACAGCAGTCTTGTTATAATTTAGTTTCACCTGACTGTGAACTGTTTCCCGAAAGTCTGCACGTGTAGAGATCCTCATCCTGCCACACCAGCCCGAGTCGGCTTGCTTTTCCCGTCCCGTATCTCAGTTACAATAATTTGGAAACAATCAGTACCCAACTATGCGTGGTATTAAGGCTGATAGCGCTTTGTAGGAGCACCTTGAAACCTCGTTACTTTTAAAACTACCTTATATCATGATTGCATTTAACGGATGGATCCGCTATTTGTACAGACAGAAAAGTGTTGATATCAAAGGGCAGTTTGCACATGACTCCTGTTGGATATACAGGTTACCATGGTTACATGACTCCTCCCTCTCCAACATCTGAGATCACGCTCGACCAATCAGAGCGCTCCTCTGCTGGGACCGGGCCAATGAGAGGGCAGTATTGAAGTTACGTAAGGGACTAACAGTGTCGCCTGCTTTGCAAGGAGGTACTTAATAAGGTGAATAGACAGCGTATAATGGAGACGTTAACCACAACACAGCCTACCTGCCCTCGTTTGAAACTATCTCCATTTGATTTGTTGATGAAGGAGCATCATTTGACCCTGGGCTGCGTTTAATCGAGTTGCGGCATTCGCCATACTTCAGTACAGACAAGCCGACTCCTTGCTCTCATTTTGTAAATCTTCAAATGAATACATGTCATTAGTTCCGCTGCGAACTTACCTGAGAGTCCCCCATACTTCCATCCTCTGTATCTAGTGTTGCAGTAGGTAGCAGTGCTATCTACTCACCAATATAATACCTCTCCTGTTCTGAGAGGTCGGGAAACTGTGACATTTTGCGAGAATAATCCGGACCTCACAATAATTCTCGGTTTTATTAACTAACCTGTAATTTTGTTTTCAGGAGAGAATACGGTGTTTCCCTGCGACATTTGCCACAAGACGTTCGACAAATATAAGAATCTCTTCCGACACGTCAAAACGCACAAGGTAGGCAGAACGACAGAAATATTTATTGTTATTCTGTCCACTAGTTGCCACTACTTCACTAGTTACCATAGTTACCATTCTCTGCACCCTTCCTCACTTCTCTCTTTATTGTTTTTACCCTCTTTATTTTACGAACCCCGTTTGTAATGCTCGGTTTGCTGATCTCCTATTGTTTCAGGGTGCCCGCCCTCACAGATGTCACATTTGCGGTAAGACTTTCACCCGAACAAGCACTCTCCGAGATCATATCCGAATACACACGGGAGAGAAACCTTACGAATGCCCGCAGTGCTTTAAAAAGTGGACCACCTATAGTAACATGAAGGTACGGCATCTTGTAACCTAGCAACTAACCTACTCTTTCAACAACATACCTTATCTGTATTTTTATCGCGCATTTCGATAGCTTACTTGTCAGACGATTTGACTGGGAAACTTTCAATATTAGATTAAGTATTTATAAAGGAGCACATATTATATTAGATTAAGATAAAAGTGGTCCACAGGAGGATTTGATTATAGTATTGGTAGTATTATGTGGTATTGTATTAAACGTTGATTGGATTGGTGCAGGTTAATTAAGATTACCTGTCATCAGTTAGCCCTCAACACGCGCCGGCTCTTTAAAGTGAAGTTTTGATTATTGTAGCAGATAAAGTGTTAATTAATGCACTGGTCACTTCAATCTTAATTAAATCTCTTTAATATTATGTGGAGTTGTGTTGCTGGATTGTTATCAGTTAATAGCTGTCAGCAGTCCCTTAATGAAAGGCATTATTAAAGTAATTAGCTCGTGTTCCCGCAATGACGTGAATAATAACTTATTTAATCTTTATCTGGTATATCCGGCTATCTTTTAAGAATTGTAAAATATTTTTCCGGTTTTGTGATCGAGGACCCGCAGTCCCTATACGTAAGCCACTGATATCAATAATGTCGTGCTGAATACTTGTCACCACTATGTTGCCATAGTAACCGATTCATTACCAACCCCACTTCCTCAGGATCATCTGAGAACTCACCTCCCCGAGTCTAAACGTCCGTACAAGTGTACTATCTGCTCGTCAAGACATGCCTGCAGGAGCAACTTGAGAACACACATGAGGACTCGACACGACGTGATCATTAAAAAGGGAGACGTTGTCATGGAGAAGATACCAAACGAGGAGATACTCATGATAACAGCCAACACCAGAGTCAACAATAACCGCAACAACGCTCCTTCATCAACAAATCAAATGGAGATTCAGGGCGTTCAGAACGAGATGACAGCTGATGTCATTGTCAGACCAGTCAGTCAGGTGGTGTGAAACTAGAACACAGAAACTCTTAGAGATTCTCAGAGACTGAGAGATTCTCAGAGACTGATTCAGATGTTTTTTGATTGAGAAGTTTGGATAGCAAAGAAGAAAATTGAAGTTTGAAGAAACTGTGAACTGGAAAACTTGAGACGCGCCAGTGATATGGTTACAATGGTAACCATAGTTATGTTTGTACATTTTACGAGATAATTTATTATTTTTTTCTTACTTTTGTTCTGGGATATATATTATTGGGATGCAAAAAGTTTTCTTTTATAATTAATCTTGAAACTTTTCGCTTTTTCAGTTTATCCCTCGCATGTATTAACTTTCGTTTATGTCAATATTGAATGAGTTTTAGAGAAAACCTGAGGCTCAAACTAACATGATAACGCAATTTATCGAGTCTTAGGCCACTCAGTTTTATACTAACTCAACATTTTGAGACGGATTTTCAACTAACTAGATATTTATTTTATTTGTCCTCTGCAAACACAGTGTGAAAATACAAAACCAAATGAGAAAACGACCTGCACTCTCGCGTGACTGCAACAATTATACATCACATCTCCGCAAGCAATCCTATATATATATTATACATGCATCACAGAAGTTAGAAAATTGGATAAGTTAATAGATTGGATCCGTCTTTTCTAGCCAAAAGTGAGTCCGTTTGGCTAGCAGCTACTTGACTTACTTGACTTAAGGCGAGTAGTATTCCCGAGATCCATTGGCAACAGTTCTCCACAGCTTTCTGTCCTTCATCAGTCTAGCTATCTCATCTACTGATTTCAGCCCAGTATCTGCTTTTAGGTTATCTAGTAGTGTTAAGTAAGGTCGCCCCCTGTTAGTATGCCCATGACTCGCCTTCCAGAGGATCAGTTTGTTCAGTGTCAGCTCCGGATGTCGGTGAGCATGACCTGCAAGTCTGAGCCTTCGTTGGGTGATCTTGGAGCTAACTTTGGGAAGATCACCGTACAGGCTGTGGTTGCCGACATGGTCTCGATATTGATTGATGTTAAGGGCCATTCGTAACATTCGTGTATACTGTATAGCAACCACCAACCATCTTCTCTAGCCTTTTCGTCATAGTCCAAGTCTCGGAACCGTATAGAAGCACCGACTCGACTAGTGCTGTGAACACTCTGGTCTTGATAGACTTTCTAATATTAGATTTCCAAAGTTTTTTGAGAGTGTGGCATGCTCCCCATGCTCTTCCTTTCCTAACCCTGATATCTCTCACTGTCTCTGATTCTAGAACCAAGATAGGTAAAGTCTTCCACGTGCTCTATTGTACTATTACCCAGGGACTTGATGGTATCAGGGTTCTCGATGTTATGAGTAATGAATTTGGTTTTCCCTTCATTCATTCTAAGTCCCACTGTAGCAGCAACCCTTTCTACCTCTAGCATCAGCATCTCTGCCTCCTTCACAGTATCTGCTATCAGAGCAATGTCATCTGCAAAACCAGTGTCTGATATTTTCTCCGCCTTGACTGTCCTACTCCGATAAGGCTTAATTGTTAATGATAAATCCTATTTCAGGGTGCATGCTTAAAGCTTGTCTCATGCAATAGTCAAGGGCTAAAATGAAAAAGTATGGTGCTAACGTATCCCCTTGAAGTTGAAGAGCTCCTGCCAGGATATCAAATAGCTCGGTATCCCCATCTGGTGTTATAACTTTGCCCTTCGTGTTACTGTTTACATAGATAAGATTAATGATATCTACAATACTGTCCGGTAGCAGAGCTAGTAGCATATATTATGGGAAATTTAACATTATCGACTTACCTTGTACCTTACTGCTTATCCTTTCCCTAATAAGAGCATTTTTACTTGTCGCAACAACCGGGATAAAAATAATTTTACACGGAATACATTACTGCACGCCAGTACGTCCGGTCCCTGCGCGCGGCGCTCGTTTCAAGCTCCCTGAACACTAACAGGAAGCCTGGAAGCGTGTATCAGGCCCTTCACACTTTGTTTATGTTTTGGAGGACTTCGCCGCGCAAATTAGCATTTTTGCTTCGTATCGATCGTCGATCGTTGCTCTGCTTCGCAAAGCAACGATTTCGATGGGTTGTTAACGGGTGATACTCGTAAAATATTTTGTTTCAAATATTAGGACCGTCGACGAGTCCAACTCGGCGAGCGTCCTGGTACTGGTAGGTTATAAACCTACAAATTTAGGTTGACATCGTCAATCAATATTCAATGATGAAACTTTCGTTATTAGGGCAGTTTTTTTTAATTTTTAAAAAATTTTTTAAAGAGAGGCTGGGCCAAGATAGCCCACGAGAGGATAGCATTAAGATGCTCTGCCTACCTCTGGGGTGTGGCAACCTTGGGGAAGGTTGCCGGTGAAATCAGAGTGATTGGTGGAGGATGGTGTAAGCTGTTATATGAGTCATTATTATTATTAGGGCAGTGTTTTATATCATTATCAACAGTCTGGACAGTGTAATTTTAATAAATTGGGCGACATCTGTCCGACAGCGACATTTGTCCGACAGCCGAATTAGGGATTTCGGACAGATGTCGCTGTCGGCGACATTTGTCCGATTTCGGATCATATTGTAATTTCGGTTCACCTTCGTATTTCACAAGCTCACGGGTAATCTCGCGACGTTGCTCCCATTGTTCTATAATGCTGATGTGATCCATTGAGATGGCCGGGTGGTGTAGTGTTGGCCGGGTGGTGTAGTGTTGGCCGGGTGGTGTAGTGGTAACACGATCGCCTCCCAAGCAGAAGACCCAGGTTCAAATCCGGTCGGATGCAAGTCGGCCAGTTACCAAGCTGTGATTTGGTACAGCTTCGGCTGGTGATACACACTCTCTGGCTCGTAGGACTAACCCCCCTACAGCTAGTATACTGCCTCGGCACAGAGTGGCTTAGGGTTACTGAAAAGGAGATAAGCACCTCAGGCCATCCCAACGTTCGGGAGAGACCTGCCCTTGTTTCTTGTATGTGATCCATTGAGATCTGATCCTGGATCCATCGATACGTGATTGACTAGTTGAGGACAATATCGTGCACTAACAAGCTGTCGATCACATCACAGGACACAGCCTACATGAGTACATATAAGACAGCGGTATGGAGATCAGTTATCGCAATCCACAATGGCTTATGGCAACCAATCTTTAGTTTCTCCCTCCTGACTCCCGACCACAAATGAAAATAAGCTATGGTACTGGTAGTAAACTATGGCTCAGATCATATCTCAAATTGGAAATGTTACGTATAAAACTTAGCAAGTAACAGTTCAATTCATGTCTCTAATTGGAAATGTGTCGTATTAAAATCAGATCACAATTTCGGACATATTAGGACGCAATGAAACTACCGGACCACGATGTATGAGGACTTGCCACCCCATGTCGTTTTTTTTCTGGTACCCTGAGTCGGACAGATGTCGCTGTCGGACAGACGTCGCTGTCGGACAGGAGTCGTGTTACCATTTTGATTATGCCCCTTGACAATACACAAATTAAAAGATATGCAAATAAACAAGTTGTGGAGCCGTCACAAGTTTACTCTTTCTTACTGCATTTTGTTAACTATGTTATTTTGGTGGATTCGTGTAGTGTTATTGAGTCTCATGATTTGATAGTTCTTTTATTCAAATTTCTGATTGTTTCTGAATAGACTCAAAGAAGACACATTCTAATGGAATTTCCATTTATTTCCATTAGAATCTGTCTTCACTGAGTCTATTCAGAAACAATCAGAAATTTGAATAAAAGAACTATGTTATTTTGACTAATAAGATCGTGGTAGCGTCTTGGTGGCTAAATTTAATTTGCACCGTAATTATAAGGTTGCCGCAAAAGAAGATCGGAAAACTTTGTCAGTTCTTCAGATCGTTGATCTCGAGCAGAATAAATTCAATTATAATATAAAGCAGATCAAGGTCACCGAAATTTATCTAGGACCGGCATTTTTCAAATAACTCCGCAACTCAAAAGTTCTTAACTTTCGTTTGATGACGAAATTGTTGCCCGTATATAAACCCTCGCACATATTTGGAGGAGAGCTTACATATGAACAGTCACTAACTGGTAGTGGTAGACAGCAGTGACTGATATTTAAGCAGCATCACACTGTTTTATTTGTCACAACATTTTTACACGCATAAGGTAGTTTTTAAAATTTCTTTTTAGGAGAAATGTCTTAAATGCTGCTTTACTCATTTCCAGACGCATTTATTCAGAATACAATAGTTTGCGACCACGCTTATGAATTTTACGTTCATATTTAATTATATTTTCCTTGTAAGATTTCATATTTAAATTAATATTTATTTTCCTGTTATTCATTCTGTTGTTTACAAACTAGGAGCCAACTGGGAGCCGATTGGAAATTTTGTTCGTTCATTGATCCGGTCTGCTTTCATTTTCAATATCTTGATCTGTCGAACTTGTTTATTGAACAATCAGGAGTCATTAATAAGATTGTTAAAAAATAAGCTGTCACAATTATATTGACAATAATTTGAAATTTCATCTAACAACCGTAACTGTAACTGTAAGTGCCACACTGTGGTCCACACTAGAAGTATCCCAGTTTGTTTTAGTTATGACTATTATAAAGTTCAACTAATATATCATAATTCTTCCACTTCTTCTGTTGATAGTCCTGTCCGTCAAATTTTGATTTTTACGGGAGGCCAGCCATTACTGTGCCTTGCGGATTTCACATCTATAGAGGGTCAAAAGGGCAGAGTGGTAATCACACTATATAGTGACAACACTATATAGTGACAAGCACTTTATAATTACAGCTGATATTTGTCACTATATAACGTGCAAAACGCACTATATTAATATAGTGACAGCACCATATAGTGACAAGTTAGTCTTATATCGACTTTACTTTTCACTCCACTCTACTTTACTTTTCTTTAATTCTACTTTACTCCAGCGATTCTGTACTGATCACAATAGTACCCAGGTTCACATGCAAGCATATTTTATCACTGTATTGTTTTCACTATAAGACAGGAAAACAGCAGTCTGCTGTCTGCACAATAGTTGACTCGGAGCCAAAACTGGATCATAATAATAAAACGTGATAAAGATTAAAGAGCAATACTAGAACTACTGTTCGTAATAAGGTTCGGTTTTCCTCTTTTTTATCAAGACACTTATTTTACTTCGGAGTATTCCAACAGCCACATTGTTACACAAGTGCAACCAGCCAATTACAGGAAGCCGAAGGATTTGTTTTTAGCCAGTGACGGTTAAGGTAGTGATATATAAGAATGGAGTTAATTGCGAAAGCTCAGATAGGATGAGCTTTCGCTCCAATCTTATATTTCTGGTCACAGAATTCCTTTGGTTTCATCACGAGTCTGTTTACATTGTAAATGAAAAACACAATGCTTGTTCTTAATATCCGATCCACTTTTATTTCAGTTCCGCCAAACTAACTCTTTTGTCTTTGCACGCTGTTTAATGTGCCCTGATTGGTTAGTTTGTGTCACGTGATATGAATAATGTGCCCTGATTGGTTAGTGTGTGTCACGTGATATGAATAATGTGCCCTGATTGGTTTCTGTTTATCAAATTACGGACTTCAGAAATGTTTCGTGTCAGTTTCGTATCATTCACATGTAATTGCGTGCCAGTGTTTCCTTTCAAAGTTCTCCGTGTTGGTCTCTTTCTCTCTTTATATTATCCACACGTATAAATTGCGTGCCAGTGTGTTTGTTTCCTTTCAAAGTTCTTTTGTTATCCACTCGTTATAATTGTGTGACTGTGTGTTTGTGTTGCTAATTGCTCCGTGTGATCCGAACATTCCCCTGTCATTTAGCTCGCATTTAACTCTGAGTTTTATGATTTATATTTCTGAACTCTTTTTACTGTTGCGCTATAATTTATTGATTACTAACGTTAGTTATAAAAATCTAAGTTTGATTATATTTATTTCCGCATTTAAAAAAATTTTCACTATATAATTACTATATCGTTAGTTTTAATATTCAAAGGGAATTATTTAAGCCATCCCTTAATTAAAATCGAATTCCTGAATTGATTATGGGCTAAGTTATATAGATTTATTTTACCTTTTGTATCGATAGTTGAAATCCATATTCGGTTTAACTTATAATTCTATTTTAAGCCTCTATTGAAAAAGAATCAGTCCTGGTAACTAATGGGGTCGCGTGAATATGGTGAAGCAACGAATCTTGATTATGAAACAGATTCTGAAAAAGAAGTTAATCCACGTGAAGAAGTTTATCATCTTGAACCAATATATAACGAACCACCTGAAAGTGAACTAAGGTTTGACGTAGAGGGAGTAGATCCTTCGGCGTTTAATTATAATAAACGGAAACCAGTTATAGAAGTAGAACGTGCAATTATAACCAGATATGGTGAATATGGTGAAGCAACGAATCTTGATTATGAAAAAGATTGTGAAAATGATTATGAACAAGACGTACTTCATGAAGAAGAATATGAAGTGGAACAACAAACACAATATAAAATGGTTTACGCACCCCCGCCTGCAATGGCAGTATGTCCTGCAGCTCTTAGATATGATCATAAAGAAGCTCACGCAGAAGTAGAATATACGAATCTAGTTTGCGAACCAGTGGTTAAACCAATGGCACATATTTCAACAGACACAGAGTATTTCACTGCTGTTTTAGAGGGTCACCGGGATAGGGACACTCTTTCAAGACTGGAGGATTTAAAGAACAAATTTGGATACTCTACAGAAAAGGTTAACAAAAAAGGTAAAAACGAAAAAGGTGAATACTCGTGGGGCCCTCTCCAACTAGCTGCTGCTTTTGGAGAGTTAGACACTGTGAATGAGCTGTGTCAGTACACACTTATTGATCTAGCACAGAAGGATAATGATGGCGATACACCGCTCCATGCTGCTGCTTATTGGGATCATGATAGCACGATTGATATTCTCTTGAACACAGCTAAGAATCCAGTTAAGGCGAGACTTGCTATAAATATGTCTAACAAAGCCGATGAGACTCCATTTACTTTCGCCGCAACACGCTATCATACAAAATCATGTGCTATGATGATCAGATACAGTCCTCCTCTTACTTACACATTTAATTTCGTTCATCCTGGGCGAAATCCTGGCACGCAAGATATGGAAAAAGAAACCGACAGTGGAAGATTTGGAAAATTGCGGACGAAAGAGGCAGTGAAAAATGTTGAGAAAATGAATGAACACATTATCAAGTATCACAAGCCAAACGGTCAAGGCAAAACTTCTATCAATATCATGATAACTAAAATGCCAGAGTTGGTATTCGAAATCCTGGATAAATCGATAATCAGAACTAAAACTACTATCCTCACTGAAAGTAGCAAAGGTTCTGAAAATAAGCATGAAGACATTCAGCGAGTCATCGTTGACTTCGGAGCATTGGAAAACTACGGCGAAAAGGAAGAGGAGGAGGAAGAGGAACCGAACAACTCCGAAGTATTGGGAAAAGAAGATGAAAAGAAGCCTTTTGTGACTGTCAATGTGGAGGAGAAGGAGGAGGAGAAAAAGACGAAGAAGGAGAAAGAGAGGGACAAGAAAGAGGAGGAGGAAACAGGAAAGCCTCTAACTTCGGGATATTATAAGCACGGTTCAAACCCACTCCAGATCATGGCAAAGATGAATCATAATCTTCTCACACATCCAGTGGTAGAAGCTTTGATCGTTACAAAGTGGGAAAAGTTTGCCAGAACTTACTTCTACATTTTCACTTTCCTTCTTTACCTTATCTTCTTCTCTGTGCTGATGGGATACCAGTTCACTCAAATCAAACCATTTGAACTTTTGGAAAATGATAAAGCTATTAGATCCTGGATTGAAAATTCTAGCCATACTTGTGATGAATTTCCCGATGGCTGCTCAAAGGAGAAATCTGCAGAAAGTGATATCTTTGGATACATACTTTTGGTGATGTCTGCTATTCGCCTATTTCTTGAGCTTCTGGATCTCCTAGATAATGTTTTTTTTAATGGATCAGATCTTGATAGTGGAAGTAACAGCCCTCTTGAAACTGGCAAAGCGTGGTTACAAGGTTTGATGAACTATCTTATTGACCCTGAGAACTATTTAGAGGTTATCTTATACGGCAGCTGTCTGTTCTTTTCTCTCAATGTGCTGGAACCGCAAAGTGTCATGTCCCCTTTTCATTGGAAGATTGGATCTCTCTCCGTTCTGACCAGCTTTATTAACCTCCTCCTTATTCTACAAGTATTCCCGAATATTGGAATATACATCATCATGTTCTTCAAAATAGCTTGGACATTCCTTTCAAAGATATTATCCTTGCTAGTTTTCTTCTTGATCGCCTTTATGGTGGTATTCCACATGCTGTTGAGCCACACAAATGTTTTTAGAAACATACTGTCCGCAGATGCCATCTTCAAAACCTTATCTGCGGGAGTATCTGGAGTCGAATACGACGATTACGCCGACCAAGAAATGATTTACCCAACAACAACGCTGGTGGGTCTCATTGCTTTCGCTCTGTTTGTCCAAGTTCTCTTCTTGAATCTTGCAACTGCTCTGGCAATAGGAGATGTGGATGCAATCCGAAGTGGAGCGGAAAAGGCTAAAAACGCACTTAAAATCAAGCACATCTATAATGCACAGAGAATAGTGAATCTCATACAGTGGGTCGCCACACCCATCTTTTGTGGAAATGCTCTAAACGTTCTGGAACATCAAAAACGATTCCGAAACATGCCAGCAAAGAGATTTAAGGAAGATCGACTTGCATATATCGAAACATGTACAGAGAAATACACGGAAGCAGAGAAATCAGAGATATGCACAAAGGAATGCACAGGGAAATGCACAGAGAAATCTGAAAATGTGGTCATTCCATTTTCAGATTTTTATAAAAAACATTACAAAGGTGAATAAACTCACGATTTAAGGTTATTTGCTCTTTTGAAAGGAAAGAGATTTTACAACGGGTATATATTTAAACTAGAAGAATGTTTAGACCTTTACTTTTAAGATAGAAGGGAATACTCTTACTATACTATACTGCATTATATTTTTTTAGCACTTATCAGTCTTTTGCGATATTTTACGAGTTTAAGATTGTTTTAAAGTTTTTAAGTAATACAACATGATACTAATCACGAACTTGCTTTTGAGAAATGCATGCTTGTTTTAAAAATATTTACCTACAGATGTTTTTGCGTATTAAAATATTATGTATCTTTTATAACACTATTCATTAACTCTTATTCTTAACCTATGTTTGCATTGATCTATAATTTAAATGGAAATTACATGTCATGTCTATTGTCGATTGAACTAAAGTGTAAAATAAATACAATCAGTCGCAATCGATCATCCCAATCCTAAGGTGACAAATATAAAATGAATTTAAATTGTGGCATGCAGTTACCCTGTACCAAAATAAATAAAAGTCAAGATTAAGTCTGTCTATCGCTTATTCTTCCCCTCTCAATATATTCTATCGCCTCAAGGATCACTTGTTCCCGTTTCTTCAATCGCCCCAAGGATCACTTGTTCCCGTTTCTTCAATCACCTCAAGGATCACTTGTTCCCGTTTCTTCAATCACCTCAAGGATCACTTGTTCCCGTTTCTTCAATCACCTCAAGGATCACTTGTTCCCGTTTCTTCTATCGCCTCAAGGATCACTTGTTCCCGTTTCTTCAATCGCCCCAAAGCCCACTCTTTTTCCAAAGGTCGCTTCTCCGCCTCAGCTGCTGCTTTCTCCTCCACCACGTAGCGTGATTTTAATATTTTTAACGCTGGTCGTGGAGGAGAAAACTATTGCAGTCATCACCATACCCTGTGTTTTCTGCTCCATCATCGTCCTTGTTAACAAGCTCACTCCCACTAAGTGTTGTTGCTGCACTGACATTGTCTTGTAGGTTTAAAACCTACCAGGACGCGCGCCGAGTTGGACTCGTGGAACAGATATTCTACGAGTATCACCCGTTAAACATTGTCTCTGTTGGTTATTATGTAAGTAAAATACTTCGAGCTATTACATAACTATATCCAATATCACCGCTAAAACATTACCAAGCGCGCTTATCCCTATCACTTTTGTAGGTTTATAAACTACCAGGAGGCGCGCCGAGTTAAAACAAATATCTTAAGAGTATCACCCTTTAATATCACTTATGCACAAACTTTTTTCGAAGGCTTCTAATTAAATTGCAATTGCAATATTTAAATATCTGTGAGAGTTAACGGGTGATACCCGTAAAATATTTGTTTCAAATATTTGTTCCAAGACCGTTGACGAGTCCAACTCGGCGCGCGTTTTGGTAGGTTATAAACCTACAATGTTGAATGTGTTTATTATCATTAAACATGCATGACACATGTGTCTTCGCGTACTAATTGGTACTAATTGGTATTACCTCACTAACGTGACGTTGGTTGATAATGTCAATCCTTCGCAGCCAGTAGCACAGCCAACAGCGCAACCTATTGCCAATTGCTAGTACATCTCGACGATCTAACAAAATGGTTGCGAGAATTCTCGCTTATATTATCACATTTTTTTTGAGTAATGCATTATTAAATGCCATATATGCGCGGCGTATAGTATTTAGTGCATTTGGATTCTGGTATTGCGCTACAAGTTGCTAATTTGCTTCGACTAAAGCAACGATAGGAACGTAATGACATTGTCTTAATCAAGCGTTAAGTTGCAGCTTGCACTATTTAGCAAAAGAACTGCATGGCATGCGAGGCATCGTTCATCAAACAACTATTATATCAACTCCGTTCACAAATAATAGCCATGAGTCTTCGCAATCAAAGGCTTTTACTAATCCGCTCGCCCAAAAATTATCACGTGACTTTGGTTTTTATGGAGTTTTGCAGCCAAACAAAACGGTTTTATTAGTAGTCAATGACTAAACAGGGTTATTGAAAATTACAAAGAATAAAATGGCGTCTGGACTTGGGACCAGCTAATAGTATATTTCATTAATATTGCACATTGAATTAGGATTCCGTTAAATATCAAATTGATTTATATATATTATTGTAAACTTGTTTTATCTGTAATAAATGGCAAAAAATTGAAATTTTTGTTAAACTGAAATTTTTGTTAAACTGAAATTTTTGTTTATTAACCATGATTAATGCCCTCTGAAAACCATTCTGCTAGCTAAAAATGATATTGTTATGTAAAACGTACTGAAAATTAAAATTATGATTAAAATTGAAAACGAACTGAACTAACAAAAAGATTACTGGGCGGCGCTCAGCCTGTCATTCCGCCGAATCTTTATTATGTTTATGAACATAATAGCCTGGGGTCCCCAGGTAGACAGAAGGAATGCCACGTCATCAGTCATGCTGTATGCTAAAATACATATTCCGAATTTAAATTAATCCCAAATTTCCCCCAAATGATAAAATACTTGTCGACAAAGATTTCAAACCGTTTGCGCAAGGCAGCAATTTTGAAACTTTGTCGTGCAAGTTTACGAACTAGATTTTTACAATCCAAAATAAAACTGTTAAAAGAGCTATTAATACGAGCTAAACGAACTAACTGACTAATAAATATACCATAAGACTTTGGGAATATTCCCATCTAAAAAGGGATAATTAATGACATCAAAATTAGAATTGTTCCTCTGGTCATAAAGTTTAACAAAAAACTTTCCCCTATAAATACTGATAGTAAGTTCTAAAAATTTATATCTTACTATATATAAAGCGAGACGATATATATATGTGTATATATCCGTGCCATTTTACTGACACCACGGCATCAACTTTAACGCGACTTTCCGCAAAAACCGTAAAACATATACAACTGAAACTTTTTTGACTGGTTCAAATGCTTTAATGGCCTTCAAATCAGCATGAAAAAATAAAAAATTGGCCAAGGAATAATAATTTTAGTGCCCAAAATTTGGACTCTCAAGTGGTGTCAAAAACGCGAATTAAATAGGTAATAATTATTTTAGTCTCTCGAGTCTTGACACCACTTTAGGGTTAGACGGGTTCCTGCTAGTGATATTAATTTGAGGAACCGTCCGCTAATGCAAATTGATACCGAGAATGAAATCGGTCGCTCGCTTTTCCCATTTAATAAGCTTTATTACAATTCGTAAGCCGTGAATGAATGGGAAAAGCGAGCGACCGATTTCATTCTCGGTATCAATTTGCATTAGCGGACGGTTCCTCAAATTAATATCATTTCCTTTTGTTTGGAAAAGAGAGACACTGGCAGCGGTACACTCTACCCATGATTATGGGTTTTGGTTAAATTACAGATATAAACGTTTATAATATAGAAACGTTATACATAACGATTTAGTGGTACCGGTCTTTTCCTTTTTACCTTTGAGCCATAAACAGCTTTAAACAGTTTTAGAAAGTTTTAGAGAGTTTATAGTAAAAGCGATCAACCTAGTAGTGCGCCATCGACAGTGAGCCGCGCGTGCCGACTGTAGGATGGTTTTTTAGCGCTAATTTCGGCCAGCACAATTTTCTTCAAACAAATAGATATTAAGTATCCTTCCCGACCTCCGATTGCAACAAAAATTGGTAAGCTTACTCATAGACTTACAAGGAAAGTGTCCGAAAAGTTTAAAGCATATCCAACTGCATCAGACATTATGTTACAGCTAAAAGCAGCCTATTTTGCCCAATTTTGATTACTATATCAACTCCGATATCCACCAAATTTTTCGGACAGTTGTGAAAGCCCTATTGGAAGGTTGTCGACTGTCGCCAATTTTCAGAATGATCTCATTCAAGGAACTGAAGATATATCCAAATAATACGACAAAAATCAACGAATTTGGAATTTGGTCAAATTTGGTCAAATTACGCGACTTTTACAGCTAATTTTGCTCCAAAAGTCGCGCACCATCAAATATGACACCTAGGCGAAACTCACTGATCTTTCTAAAAAGGTTTGACAAATTTGGCATTGTGAAAATTCTCACAGTCTCTAGAAAACAATGATACAAAAAATTTTAAAATCCGAGCAAGTTTATTTTTATGGTGCACCCCCTACCCTAATCCTTGCTCTATCCAGAGCCCTTGCGCTTGCAGTAGCGCGCGCCCGCCTCACGGCTTGTGAAACAAGCGCGCCCGCAGTGGCGCGAAAGCACATGGTTAGGTGAACCCTAATCCCATGACCCTAATACTGACCGTAATTGACCCTCCGAAGCTATCCATAACTTTAATTTGACGGATGTTACTCGTCTAAATTTCTTCGAAGTAGCGCGCGCCGCTTTCTTCTCGAAATATTGGCCCGATGGCAAGTGCTACGAAGTAGTGCGCGCCGGGCCAGACCATTAACAATGGTCAATCACATGACCAAAACAGTTTTTATTCCCCATAACTCAGGAAAGCATTTTTACCCGAAGAATTTACGATGTCAATTCTTCGCAGCTCGGCGAGGCCGCCAATACCAGTAGCTCATTTTGCCAATATAACGAAAAGAAGCATTATTGAATGATATGCGCGGCATGGCCCAATAACGCATCGCGCTACAAATTCGGAATTGGCGTCTAAAATACACCGAAGCAAATTTAATTACAAATTACTTTTATACCTTCAAGGCCTTTTCACAAAAATTTTCTTAAAAATAATCCTTATGTTACTTTTTATTACTGAAATAACTATAAAAGCAAATTTTATATCTCCAAAAGCGTCGTTAAATATTGAATATACTTCATACATATCCAATATTACACTAAAAATTTTTTTATTAATCACCAGCTTTAAAAATACGTCAAAGTTGATATTATTAAAAAGGTCAGATTTGCAAAAAAACATTAACACAAAAGTTCCAAAATCCGAGCAAGTTGAATTGTATACCTATTACGTTAAGCCTGAGGTCCCCTCAGCTCGTTTAGTATAAGAATAAGCTGTAGTGCAATGCGTTACTGGGCCGTACCGCGCATCCAATGATGCTTCTCGCAACCACAGAGATCGGCGAGATGCGCTACGGGGCCTCGTCAAGCTTGGAGCTGCAAAGAAGTGACATCGTCAATTAAAGGGATAAGCGACCTTAGTAAGAAGTTCCAGGTAAATTGTAAATGCAAACTTTGTTGTGGCTTAAAGGGCCGGGACAGCTTAAGGATTGTTCATTGCTAAACTTAACCAGTATATCCTTATAAAGGCTTCCTCTAGGATTTGTTAAGGTTTTTGGTTAGGCTTAGATTATGGATCAGCTTTGGGTTCTGTGTTAATGGGGTTAGAGTTTCGGTGAGACCGTTTCGTTCGGTTACAAATGACAAAATGGTTAAAACAGAAAAGTAAAGTAAAGTAAAGGGGTCCCCCCTGGGATCATTTCGTCCGTAAAATTGTATACAATATAAAATAGTACAATAAAATAAAGTAAAATGTACATAGACAAATCTAGGAGACGTTAATAATATACCTCAAAGCTCGCCTTCTGAGGGACGAGGTTGAAGGAAACGTTGCGTCTTGCAGTTCAAGATGCTGGGCTGTTGATTTTCTTCAGATTCCCCCCAGTGCAATGAGTGTACTTAACATAACATAACATAACTACTTCTTAACAGATCAAATCTGAATCGTGTTCTGATATGATTTTTGACCTGACTCTTGGCTTCTTTTTGTGGTCAGCTATCATCTCAGATACCCGATCTACAAACACAGTGCAGAGTGGTCCCACACTTCCGGAGGTTGTGAAGAATCTCTGACTGAAGTACTCTCTCTTCATACATATATTTATTTTCTGTCTCATGATTTCTATAGATCTTATCTAGTGGCTTAAATGTATTTGTGTTTGTAAATTTTAATTTGTAAATTTGTTTCACTGTTCTTTCAAAGGGTGCATACACCCGACAGCTGCAACATCAAGACAGGCTTAATCCTGGGTATTGGTCTTCCTTGACAATGAGCTTGGTTGGACTGTCAGGAGTGCTGGTTCTATCCTTACGTCTTTACATTTTGCTTCTCAGAAGAATAAAGCAGCAGTGTTTCTTATGGCATTGTGGCGCATGGAAACGTATGCACCTAGTTTACAATCAAGGGCGTGGTAGACACTTTTTACATTTCAAATGGTTAAAACACAAGTCAAGTGATAGTACTCTGGTGAGTAAATTAGTAACAACCAGCGAGGTTTAGCAACTGCAATCCCAGCTTTTTCCATTGTTAATAGATTGACCCAGCGCATGCTACTTCTAATTGTAAAATTCAAAATACAACTTAGACTTACTTCGAAACACCATCTGCATCAACAGATACTACAACAGTACTATTACAAATTATTAAATAACTCTTATCTCTTGAAGTAAATTTAGAGCAGCGACACATGGTCTGAAGAATGCGTGCTGGTATTTTTATCTGGTGAATGACAGTGAAATTGGGCGGTAGCGATAGCATTGTAAAAATGCTATCGCTACCGCGATAGCATTTTTACAATGCTACCGCCTAATACAGAATTTTAATTAGCAAAATTATATTATGTCATGTTTGATTTTTTGTTATTGTTTGTCATTCTCAAATGTGGTAGATGGCCCCAATGTTAATTTGGCTCTTGCTATGACATTGTGTTGATTCATCCAAATTAATTATTATATAGTCAAGTATATTTTTCTAGTTTAGTAAGTTGTCATCCGACCACACAGTATGCAACTTATATTGCAGTACCATTTTTCCATTAGTAACATATCAAAATAATGTCATTGTAATTTTGGCTGAAATGTAACGCTTGATTTATATATATTATATAACATGATTAATTGAATTTTCAAAAAAATGCTACCCTCTCGTAGACTCATCTAGGTCCAGTCTCTCTTTAAAACAAAAGGGGGCTCCTTCCCCAGCCAATAATACTGGGTACACTGTAGAGTAGAATTACGTTTTATTTAGTTTAACCAAGGTGATTATATTTCACACATTTAGTAATAGTGGCAATGAAATGGATGATTCAGAAGTCTCTGCCAAACTTTACGAAAACGTGTCTTTAGGTTATGCAGGTATGATTTTGAAAGTTTCAGCTGGTCCAAGAACTCCTTAACGTCAATATTCAATAATCGTGTACCTTTGTACCGTTACATGACTATCGTGTTGTTCTGCAACCATTGCTATTATTATAAAAACAATCCCAGGTTACCTAGAGGTGGATAATAGTTCTCTCTTATTGCTATTATTATAAAAACAATCCCAGGTTACCTAGAGGTGGATAATAGTTCTCTCTTATTGCTTCGAAACACCATCTGCATCAACAGATACTACAACAGTACTATTACAAATTATTAAATAACTCTTATCTCTTGAAGTAAATTTAGAGCAGCGACACATGGTCTGAAGAATGCGTGCTGGTATTTTTATCTGGTGAATGACAGTGAAATTGGGCGGTAGCGATAGCATTGTAAAAATGCTTGAAGATAGTCATATTTCCTTAAAAGTTTTGTTGCTCAGACTGAACCAGGAGGACTGGTTAACTGATGGTCCCAGACACACCAAACAACAAGCAGTTCACCCTTATCAAAAACTCTACACTCAACAACAATTGACAAAAATACAGAACTGGAGTGCACCATATGACGCAGTGGTGTAACGTTGCCTGTTGGCGCCCCCCTGTTGGCGCCCCTCCCCTTTTGGCACCCCCTCCCCTTTTGGCGCCCCTCCCTAAAATTGAAGAAATCAGGTGATTTTAGAGGATATGCCGGTAAAATCTCTAAAAGAAGTGTGTTTCTAGAGCAAAACACACAGTTTTGCCAGTACCTTGTTAAGTTTTTCAAAATTGTCCCCCATTTAAACGACGATTTTGCGCCCCCCTAAGATGGCGCCTCCGCACAACGGGGTCAGCGGGGCCCTTCCTTACGCCACTGATATGATGGGACACTGTGACCTGAACAAACGCCTTCACACCATTCGCAAAAAAATAAAATTTGGACCCAAAAATGCCCATTGAAAAAAGTCTCATTTTTTGTCATCACCCGTTACTTTCATTTCTCTTTGGTCCTCATATTTTTGGCACTAAGGCGTCTACTCATCCCCCTATATCACTTGCCACTTACCTCCATCATCTTCGCAGTCCACATAGATATCTCCAGCAACCCCTTACAGCTTTACAGGGTTGCCATACCCCAGAGGCAGGCATAGTGTCCTCATATCATTAACAGTTGGGCCAGATTAGCTCATCAGCCTTTAGATATGATTCCTAGAAATTAGTTTCTTGTTAATTCTGTCCGTCCGATTTCCTGTCCTTTTGTCTTCCTTATTTTTTTCTTGTTTTCAGTTGTAACAGAATTTTAATTAGCAAAATTATATTATGTCATGTTTGATTTTTTGTTATTGTTTGTCATTCTCAAATGTGGTAGATGGCCCCAATGTTAATTTGGCTCTTGCTATGACATTGTGTTGATTCATCCAAATTAATTATTATATAGTCAAGTATATTTTTCTAGTTTAGTAAGTTGTCATCCGACCACACAGTATGCAACTTATATTGCAGTACCATTTTTCCATTAGTAACATATCAAAATAATGTCATTGTAATTTTGGCTGAAATGTAACGCTTGATTTATATATATTATATAACATGATTAATTGAATTTTCAAAAAAATGCTACCCTCTCGTAGACTCATCTAGGTCCAGTCTCTCTTTAAAACAAAAGGGGGCTCCTTCCCCAGCCAATAATACTGGGTACACTGTAGAGTAGAATTACGTTTTATTTAGTTTAACCAAGGTGATTATATTTCACACATTTAGTAATAGTGGCAATGAAATGGATGATTCAGAAGTCTCTGCCAAACTTTACGAAAACGTGTCTTTAGGTTATGCAGGTATGATTTTGAAAGTTTCAGCTGGTCCAAGAACTCCTTAACGTCAATATTCAATAATCGTGTACCTTTGTACCGTTGCAAGACTATCGTGTTGTTTTGCAACCATTGCTATTATTATAAAAACAACCCCAGGTTACCTAGAGGTGGATAATAGTTCTCTCTTATTGCTATTATTATAAAAACAATCCCAGGTTACCTAGAGGTGGATAATAGTTCTCTCTTATTGCTATTATTATAAAAACAATCCCAGGTTACCTAGAGGTGGATAATAGTTCTCTCTTATTGCTATTATTATAAAAACAATCCCAGGTTACCTAGAGGTGGATAATAGTTCTCTCTTATTGCTATTATTATAAAAACAATCCCAGGTTACCTAGAGGTGGATAATAGTTCTCTCTTATTGCTATTATTATAAAAACAATCCCAGGTTACCTAGAGGTGGATAATAGTTCTCTCTTATTGCTATTATTATAAAAACAATCCCAGGTTACCTAGAGGTGGATAATAGTTCTCTCTTATTGCTATTATTATAAAAACAATCCCAGGTTACCTAGAGGTGGATAATAGTTCTCTCTTATTGCTATTATTATAAAAACAATCCCAGGTTACCTAGAGGTGGATAATAGTTCTCTCTTATTGCTATTATTATAAAAACAATCCCAGGTTACCTAGAGGTGGATAATAGTTCTCTCTTATTGCTATTATTATAAAAACAATCCCAGGTTACCTAGAGGTGGATAACAGTTCTCTCTTATTGCTATTATTATAAAAACAATCCCAGGTTACCTAGAGGTGGATAATAGTTCTCTCTTATTGCTATTATTATAAAAACAATCCCAGGTTACCTAGAGGTGGATAATAGTTCTCTCTTATTGCTATTATTATAAAAACAATCCCAGGTTACCTAGAGGTGGATAATAGTTCTCTCTTATTGCTATTATTATAAAAACAATCCCAGGTTACCTAGAGGTGGATAACAGTTCTCTCTTATTGCTATTATTATAAAAACAATCCCAGGTTACCTAGAGGTGGATAATAGTTCTCTCTTATTGCTATTATTATAAAAACAATCCCAGGTTACCTAGAGGTGGATAATAGTTCTCTCTTATTGCTATTATTATAAAAACAATCCCAGGTTACCTAGAGGTGGATAATAGTTCTCTCTTATTGCTATTATTATAAAAACAATCCCAGGTTACCTAGAGGTGGATAATAGTTCTCTCTTATTGCTATTATTATAAAAACAATTTCAGGTTACCTAGAGGTGGATAATAGTTCTCTCTTATTGCTATTATTATAAAAACAATCCCAGGTTACCTAGAGGTGGATAATAGTTCTCTCTTATTGCTATTATTATAAAAACAATCCCAGGTTACCTAGAGGTGGATAATAGTTCTCTCTTATTGCTATTATTATAAAAACAATTTCAGGTTACCTAGAGGTGGATAATAGTTCTCTCTTATTGCTATTATTATAAAAACAATCCCAGGTTACCTAGAGGTGGATAATAGTTCTCTCTTGTTGCTATTATTATAAAAACAATCCCAGGTTACCTAGAGGTGGATAATAGTTCTCTCTTATTGCTATTATTATAAAAACAATCCCAGGTTACCTAGAGGTGGATAATAGTTCTCTCTTATTGCTATTATTATAAAAACAATCCCAGGTTACCTAGAGGTGGATAATAGTTCTCTCTTATTGCTATTATTATAAAAACAATCCCAGGTTACCTAGAGGTGGATAATAGTTCTCTCTTAACCCAGCTAGACTGTGAAGTGGATGGAATTCAGAAACTGATGGACGAACTCTATACCACTCTCCTTACTCTTCAGGTTCTGTTGAAATACCTTTCTCCTTACTCTACAATGTGCATGTTCTGTACCTTTCTCCTTACTCTACAATGTGCATGTTCTGTTTCAGTGAATTCTAAAATACTAGTAACATTGTTTGTATCTTTTGCAATCATTTTTAATCAGTCAGCGAATTATCTGTGAAACGCAGTTATAGTTGCAGTTAGAAGAATGCACAGTATGTGTATCATTTAATAACCATGTTACTAGGACTCGAATAAGGAGGTGCTGGATGCAAGACTGACTCTGTTCTCTGAGAAAGCTAAAGAACTGGAGTCATTATTTACACAGATAGATATCATCCATCAGGCAGTTTCTAACATCTCCTCTAATGTCACCCAGGTAATGTTCATTTGAAACATCTCCTCTAATGTCACCCAGGTAATGGTCATTTGAAACTCGGTTGAAATCGGAATTAACTTAATTAGTCTACCGAAATAAACTAAAAACACCAGAATTATCAAGAATATTTTTTCAACAATTTTAAATTAAGTAATGTACTTTTGTATTTATGTTTAGTTTAAGTAATATAATTCAGTTGGAGGTAGCAGCCACTGCAATAGATAAGCAAGTAGACTCCAATCCGCTTAAGAAGATGTTTGGTTTCTTCAAGGGGAGCTCTGAAAGAGAAAGTGACGAAGTGACAATTCCTCAAATTTTTAACACACAAACATTACTGTCACGTGATGTCACACCACGAGAAGTGAGGTGACATTAAACCATTACCCTAGCAACTAGCCATTACCTAGCAACTAACCATTACCTAGCAACTAGCCATTACCTAGCAACTAGCAACTAACCATTACCTAGCAACTAATCAATAACCATTACCCTAGCAACTAACTATTACCTAGCAACTAACCATTACCTAGCAACTAACCATTACCTAGCAACTAACCATTACCTAGCAACTAACCATTACCCTAGCAACTAACCATTACCTAGCAACTAAGTATTACCCTAGCAACTAACCATTACCTAGCAACTAACTATTACCTAGCAACTAGCCATTACCTAGCAACTAGCAACTAACCATTACCTAGCAACTAATCAATAACCATTACCCTAGCAACTAACTATTACCTAGCAACTAACCATTACCTAGCAACTAACCATTACCTAGCAACTAACCATTACCTAGCAACTAACCATTACCCTAGCAACTAACCATTACCTAGCAACTAAGTATTACCCTAGCAACTAACCATTACCTAGCAACTAACTATTACCTAGCAACTAGCCATTACCTAGCAACTAACCATTACCTAGCAACTAACTATTACCTAGCAACTAACCATTACCTAGCAACTAACCATAATTACCTAGCAACTAACCATTACCCTAGCAACTAACCATTACCTAGCAACTAACCATTACCTAGCAACTAACCATTACCTAGCAACTAAAGTTGCTTGTAGTAAGGAACACAATAATTCCTGTTTGTAAAGTGAGACTTTAGTCCCGGATCTTGTAGTTTTGTCATTGGGCAGGAGGCTCAAGTGAAGCAAAATTTCTCGAACAATATGGGAAAAAGTTACATCATTTTCATTTATGTGCAATTGTAATTGTAACATGACTCTTTAGTCTTTAATATGCATTTGTTATAAGATGATGTGTTATCAAGGGTATATACTTACCTCCGTCACAAAAACAGCTTACTTGAAATTATTCTGTTTTTATAACCCATTGTAAATATGCAACTATTTTTTCGACGATAGTTTTTGCCTAAAATTACTGTAAAAATATACATACCTTCTATGGTGCTATAATATGAATTTAAACAAAAGATCAAATCGTGTATTATGATGATAACTCTTTATAAACAGTTTTATTATATAAATATCTTACTAAAACTATTACCTAGCTCTCAGTAAGAATGGATTTCAGTCTCAGTAAGAGAAGGAGGAAACTCAACCCTCTCACAGATGAGAAATACTCCGCAAGACTGTCCATGTACACAGTCCCTCCGCAAGGTAACATCACTTACTAACCATTACCTAGCAACTAACCATTACCTTGCAACTAACCATTACCCTAGCAACTAACCATTACCTAGCAACTAACCATTACCTAGCAACTAACCATTACCTAGCAACTAACCATTACCTAGCAACTAACCATTACCTAGCAACTAACCATTACCTAGCAACTAACCAATAACCATTACCTAGCAACTAACCATTACCTAGCAACTAACCAATAACCATTACCTAGCAACTAACCATTACCTAGCAACTAACCATTACCCTAGCAACTAACCATTACCTAGCAACTAACCATTACCTAGCAACTAACCATTACCTAGCAACTAACCATTACCTAGCAACTAACCAATAACCATTACCTAGCAACTAACCATTACCTAGTAACTAACCATTACCTAGCAACTAACCATTACCTAGCAACTAACCATTACCTAGCAACTAACCAATAACCATAACCTAGCAACCAACCATTACCCTAGCAACTAACCATTACCCTAGCAACTAACCATTACCTAGCAACTAACCATTACCTAGCAACTAACCATTACCTAGCAACTAACTATTACCTAGCAACTAACCATTACCTAGCAACTAACCATTACCCTAGCAACTAACCATTACCTAGCAACTAACCATTACCTAGCAACTAACCATCACCCTAGCAACTAACCATCACCTAGCAACTAACCATTACCTAGCAACTAACCTTTACCCAGCAACTAACCATTACCTAGCAACTAACCATTACCTAGCAACTAACCATTACCTAGCAACTAACCATTACCTAGCAACTAACCATTACCTAGCAACTAACTATTACCTAGCAACTAACCATTACCTAGCAACTAACCATTACCCTAGCAACTAACCATTACCTAGCAACTAACCATTACCTAGCAACTAACCATCACCCTAGCAACTAACCATCACCTAGCAACTAACCATTACCTAGCAACTAACCTTTACCCAGCAACTAACCATTACCTAGCAACTAACCATTACCTAGCAACTAACCATTACCTAGCAACTAACCTTTACCCAGCAACTAACCATTACCTAGCAACTAACCATTACCTAGCAACTAACCATTACCTAGCAACTAACCTTTACCCAGCAACTAACCATTACCTAGCAACTAACCATTACCTAGCAACTAACCATTACCCAGCAACTAACCATTACCTAGCAACTAACCATTACCTAGCAACTAACCATTACCTAGCAACTAACCTTTACCCAGCAACTAACCATTACCTAGCAACTAACCATTACCTAGCAACTAACCTTTACCCAGCAACTAACCATTACCTAGCAACTAACCATTACCCAGCAACTAACCATTACCTAGCAACTAACCATTACCTAGCAACTAACCATTACCTAGCAACTAACCTTTACCCAGCAACTAACCATTACCTAGCAACCAACCATTACCTAGCAACTAACCATTACCTCCGCAAGGTAACATCACCACTACTGAGTTTTACAGCACAGCTCTCGACAGGCTCACAATTCTCCGGTCTATCTACAATAACGGTATTAAGTATAACCGAGGTAGTGACATGTACCTGAAAACTGTTACCTCTGAGATAAAAACACACCTCCCTCTGAGACCTAGTGTCCTGGAGGAGACAGATAATAACGCAAAAACTAAAACTGAGGAGAGAAGAAAGGATCACATCTCGCACTTTCTTCTGAGATTAGCTTATTGTAGAACTGAGGAAGCGAGGTAAGAGTTTAATTTCCAAGTGTTCTCTAGATTATTTCCTTTTCACCCTTTTGAAAAAAGGCAATAGTGAAAGGTTACGAATGGACGTTTTTGCAGAAAAACGTGGATTTTGGAGATTGCAGTACGTAGGTGGGTTTGAGTATGTCGTGTTCCTTCCGTTAGTAACCATGCAACGAAAAAGTTGCGCGCGCGAGGATTGCTTGCGGAGATGTGATGTATAGATAGCCTGTGATCTATGAATGCGCGGCGCAACTGTGTTATAATGTATACGATATAATGTATAATATTAGGTTATATTATGCCCAATTTGTACGTGGCACGCGTAGTGTATATTGATGTGTACTCGAGTATAGTTTACCTTTGCTTACAATTTAAGTTCTTTGCTTTACAAGTTAAGTTCTTTGGCAATTGAACTGAATTTCAAGTTTTTCCTGTACTTAATGCATAATTTATAAATATTATTATCATGAAGACTGAGTCTGAAGTGAGCTGATTGGAGCTTATACTTAAATTTATAGTAAATGTGAAATGGAAATCTAGCGTCCGCCAAAACGAAACAACGGGCGCAATTCTTGTTAGTAACGATTTGGTGAAGTTTTTGTTTTAAAGTTAACAAGGTTTAAAACTGATTAGGTTTATAAATATTTTTCCGGTAGCCGAGGTAAGATGGATAGTATTCTCACGTGTTATCTCACGTGTTATCTCACGTGTTATCTCACGTGTTATCTCACGTGTTATCTCACGTGTTATCTCACGTGTTATCTCACGTGTTATCTCACGTGTTATCTCACGTGTTATCTCACGTGTTATCTCACGTGTTATCTCACGTGTTATCTCACGTGTTATCTCATGTGTTGTCTCCCGTGTTATCTCATGTGTTGTCTCCCGTGTTGTCTCCCGTGTTATCTCCCGTGTTATCTCACGTGTTATCTCACGTGTTATCTCACGTGTTATCTCACGTGTTATCTCACGTGTTATCTCACGTGTTATCTAAGTAAACATAATATGGTTACAGGAAGTGGTTCTGTGATTGCGAGAAGGAGTTGTTCAGACTGCGATTAGAGGAGCACAGAGAGGAGATCTACCAGTTCCTAGTGGACAACTCTCTAAAGTTTGAGGAAGTAGGAGAGAGCGAGGTGGCAGATAAGCAGCAACTGATAAGAGACTCAAGTCAGATCCACCACAACAAGGAGAAGATAACAGTGTACAAAGTGCCCTTCATTGAGGCTCTAGAGCTGGTGAAACACAGGCGTGTATATGTAGAGGCAGGGATGGCGTACGTGCCGCATACTGAGCTTGTTTCCATTCTAACGGGCATGTTCCGCGCACATCTCAGTAAGTGTCTGATAAAGTGCGCGCGATCTCTGCCAGCTGTTAGTGACGATGAGAGGATAATGTCTATACTGAACGAGCTTACTACTGCGTATAATGGGGACGACTTTAGTAGCACTAAGTTAGAGGGCCAGGTCTCTGTGTCTCAACTACCTGCTGTCTCTAAAACCTCCTTCCCTCCCTGCATGAGGAATATTTACGAGGTGTTCACCGAGCAACATCACATAAAGCACGGAGCTAGGTTGCAGTTCTGTCTCTTCCTCAAGGGACTGGGGCTCAGTATTGAGGATGTCAGGACTTATTTCAGACAGGAGTTTTGCAGGAAGATGGACTCGGAGACGTACGGTAAAAGTGGGCACGACTACATGGTCAGGCATTTGTTTGGGAAGGAGGGGAAGAGATCAGATAAGACACCTTACGGGTGCATGAAGATAATAACAGGGTCAGGGCCCTCTTCCGGGGATTGTCATGGCTGCCCCTTCAAACACATGGATGCGGAGAATTTGGAGAGGAAGCTGTCCTCGTGGAAGATTCCAAAGATACATATCAGGGAGATACTAGGTCTAGTAGCAGGGCAACACTACCAAATAGCCTGTTCTAAGTACTACGAGGTTACACACAACAAGGGGGATGCTGCATTTGGACTGAATCATCCTAACCAGTACTTCTTGGAGTCTCAACAAGCACTGGGTAACAAAGTCAATGTAGGTAAGCAAGGTTACCAGTCTTCTCAATCTTCCGCTCAGTCCTCTCAGTCTATACCAGGGTCTCAGTCTCAGCCTGGTAACGTGTCCCAGTCTGGTAACCTTGGTAACCAGCCTGGTAACGTGTCCCAGCCTGGTAACCTTGGTAACCAGGCTGGTAACGTGGCCCAGGCTGGTAACCTTGGTAACCAGGCTGGTAACGTGGCCCAGGCTGGTAACCTTGGTAACCAGCCTGGTAACGTGTCCCAGCCTGGTAACCTTGGTAACCAGGCTGGTAACGTGGCCCAGGCTGGTAACCTTGGTAACCAGCCTGGTAACGTGTCCCAGGCTGGTAACCTTGGTAACCAGCCTGGTAACGTGTCCCAGCCTGGTAACCTTGGTAACCAGACTGGTAACGTGGCCACTATCTTAACTCCAGAGGAGTTGAACGAATTGGCTGAGGACGAGGATTTTGACGATATCTGATTAGGGCAGTAAATCTTAAATCTTTATTTAGGATTGAATTCTTGGATTTCCCACGACTACTTTTTATGTATTTTAACGCATTTCAACGAAATTTTATGATATTCTATATTGACAATATTTATTAGTTAATATTATCTTTTAGTAATTACATTACAATCCATGTATCAGACAAAAATAACGATTGTTATTATTAGCTTCAACCTCTACATACGTGTCCGCGTGATTATTGAACCTTGTTTACTACATATTTATAATTAATGTGAATTCGAATGTGATTTTAAATCGCTGCTATTCAACTAACATAAAAACTAATATAAAAATGTGCAATATTACTTATTTAAGGTTTAATGTTTACCTTGTTACCTTGTTATTGATACTGATTCCAAACAGGACACGTCTGCAAATTTCTAAATATGTGATTTTAACGTTAACACTCTTTTAGCACATGATAACCTGAACTCTGCCAGCAAGTGTAAGTTTCTTAGAAAACCTTTTAACTTACCTTTACCTTGGAATATCAGTTGTATATTGTGAATACCTTGACTTTCTCCGGTTGTAGATTTTGAGTCATCTCAATTTTGGCACAATTCAGATCCTATGTCGACTGGGCGACTGTATTTTCCTTAACGGCTTATTTTACATAAACAGGTGCAAAAATAAGACTGAATTAGTGCAGTAGGATAGCTTAAAGTCCCGGAACATGTAATACAAAACTAGATGTATCTCTTATCAATGTATCAATTTCAGGAACACAATATTTAAAATTGAGAAGGTAGTTTTACGTAGGGCGCGAAAACAAATTTGTTATGAAAAAGGTCTCCTCTTCGCGCGTCACATGCGTTTTTAAGCGCGCTTTTATAGAATTTTTGAAACTTCCCAACAGAAGAATATCATGTGACGTTGGTCAAACCCGTAACCGTCTGTTTCCTCCTACTTTTACGTCCAAAGAAATGTCCCTGCATTAATCTTATATAGATGAGCATGATGGAATATCAAAATATCGTGAACCGCTTTTACCGGAGATCGTAATTCGTATCGTACACTTTAAAACGAATATTCTTACCACCAGCAATCGAAATAAAAATCATTCACACATTAAAAACAATTCGGCCCTCAAGTAACTTTATTTTATCGTGTTAAAGTTGACAATTGTTTTATCCCAGGAGGCAATGGTCTCGGTAGAGAAGAACAGGGATATCGTATCTTACTACTGCACAAAACACAGCTGGCGCGGGAAGTACAAAAGAGTTTTCACAGTCGGTACCCATGCCCTCTCCACCTACAACCCCGGCTCTTCCGAACAAACTAATATATGGCCCTATTCTGATGTGTTTTCTATCATTCCCAGTCCCAAATCTAATAACGAGTTCAAACTATTTGTCCGTAAGAACCCTGGCAAGTCACAGCAGACAGACGTTACATTCTCCTGCGAATACAGACTGGAATTGCTAACTTACGCACTGAAGTATTTCCCCAAGTTCACAGGGAGTCAGACAATAGAGTTCCCGCGGTACAGATGCGTGATGATAGATCACACCGATCACAGAGTTGAAGTGAACCTGATACTGACCCCCTGTTCTATTGAGGAATACACTGTAGCTGGTAAACTGCTCAACAGTTATAACTACAAAGACACGCAGTCTATAGCAAGGGTTCAGGATTACCCTGGCGGGTTTGCTATGATATACGGTAGTATCGGGAGAATGGTGTTGTTCGGTACTAATCAGCTGGACGAACTTCTGAAAAACGTGGAAAAGGAAGCAATGAAAGGGATGGCAATTGTTATAAACACTAGTAAGAAAATCATCTCCCAAGCGGACTTCATGGAGGGCAGATGGGGGAATTTCAGTGATGATCAGTCCCAAACCTCACTGTCAGAGTTCAATGTTAACCTGCTCTCTAGTTTCGGGGAGGCGACCCCGCGTATACTGTGTTTATCAGAGTCGTGTGTGTTAGAGCGGGACCCGAACACATACAACGTGTGTACAATGCAGCCTCTAACTGACATATGGGCCCTTATAAGACATGGGGAGGATCCCCAGATGTTTACTATCGAGTATAACAGTATGGTCAAGTCAACCTACACCTGTCAAGATAGAGACGCTCTGTTAGCCAGCATCCTGGACGGAGCGCGCGGCAATAAAAACAGGGATATTTGCGTACAGGCCATGAAAACTAACATGGGGGCTAGGATCGGCCCTCTATATCTACCTGTTGAAGAGGTCTGTAGTGACTTAAGTTTATCATTTAAACTAAATAGCATTTTATAACTCTGTATCTGTCTAAAACTGTAACCATGGTAACCTGTATATCCAACAGGAAGTGGAGAGTATCTGTCTAAAACTGTAACCATGGTAACCTGTATATCCAACAGGAAGTGGAGAGCATCTGTCTAAAACTGTAACCATGATAACCTGTATATTCAACAGGAAGTGGAGAGTATCTGTCTAAAGCTGTAACCATGGTAACCCGTATATCCAACAGGAAGTGGAGAGCATCTGTCTAAAGCTGTAACCATGGTAACATGTATATCCAACAGGAAGTGGAGAGTATCTGTCTAAAACTGTAACCATGGTAACATGTATATCCAACAGGAAGTGGAGAGCATCTGTCTGAAACTGTAACCATGGTAACCTGTATATCCAACAGGAAGTGGAGAGCATCTGTCTAAAGCTGTAACCATGGTAACATGTATATCCAACAGGAAGTGGAGAGCATCTGTCTGAAACTGTAACCATGGTAACCTGTATATCCAACAGGAAGTGGAGAGCATCTGTCTAAAGCTGTAACCATGGTAACATGTATATCCAACAGGAAGTGGAGAGCATCTGTCTGAAACTGTAACCATGGTAACCTGTATATCCAACAGGAAGTGGAGAGTATCTGTCTAAAACTGTTAGCAGAGGTAGGAACTAAAAAGGACACTACACAGACGCTTATAGAAGCAACACGGTTCTTCAACACAAACGTCAGTTACAGTGGCCTGGCCCACGCAGTCACAGAAGAGCGACTATTTGCGGAGAACAAAGAGAGACTTATCAGCAACGCACTCGGCGCGCTCGTTATAGCTGAAGTGGGTATTAACGTGCAATCTGTTTAATAATTCTAGTTACTATTACGTTAATTATTTCATGTATTTTAACTAGCTAGTAACTAATACGTTAATTATTTCATAGATTTTAACAAATCATCCCACAAAATAGCAGAATTTATAGTTTTATCACTAACTACGTCCAGTGTAAAATAGCAGAATTTATAGTTTTATCACTAACTACGTCCAGTGTAAAATAGCAGAATTTATAGTTTTATCACTAACTACGTCCAGTTAATAGCAGAATTTATAGTTTTATCACTAACTACGTCCAGTTAATAGCAGAATTTATAGTTTTATCACTAATCCAGTGTCCGACCTATAAATAGCAGAATTTATAGTTTTATCACTAACTCCGACCAGTGTAAAATAGCAGAATTTATAGTTTTATCACTAACTCCGACCAGTTAATAGCAGAATTTATAGTTTTATCACTAACTACGTCCAGTGTAAAATAGCAGAATTTATAGTTTTATCACTAACTCCGTGCAGTGTAAAATAGCAGAATTTATAGTTTTATCACTAACTCCGTGCAGTGTAAAATAGCAGAATTTATAGTTTTATCACTAACTCCGACCAGTTAATAGCAGAATTTATAGTTTTATCACTAACTCCGACCAGTTAATAGCAGAATTTATAGTTTTATCACTAACTCCGACCAGTTAATAGCAGAATTTATAGTTTTATCACTAACTCCGACCAGTTAATAGCAGAATTTATAGTTTTATCACTAACTCCGACCAGTTAATAGCAGAATTTATAGTTTTATCACTAACTCCGACCAGTTAATAGCAGAATTTATAGTTTTATCACTAACTCCGACCAGTTAATAGCAGAATTTATAGTTTTATCACTAACTCCGACCAGTTAATAGCAGAATTTATAGTTTTATCACTAACTCCGACCAGTGCCCGACCGTTAAAGAAACAGAAGCAAATTTCCACGCCATGAGAAGACTAGTGGCGTCCAGAGCTGGTTTTGCTGCTTTTACTAACCTTCCTGGGTTTAGGGAGAAGCTCGGTCTCAAGGTTTGTAGCTATAGTAACCGCATGGTAACCATAGTGACCATAGTAACCATAGTAACCGCCACCCAGCCTACTAGATTTGTATTGTTTACGTAAAGCTCATATAATATACTATACTAAACGTGTATGTTATACTATACTAAACGTTTATGTTATACTACACTAAACGTTTATGTTATACTTTACTAAACGTGTATGTTATACTTTACTAAACGTGTATGTTATACTATACTAAACGTGTATGTTATACTATACTAAACGTGTATGTTATACTTTACTAAACGTGTATGTTATACTTTACTAAACGTGTATGTTATACTATACTAAACGTGTATGTTATACTTTACTAAACGTGTATGTTATACTATACTAAACGTGTATGTTATACTATACTAAACGTGTATGTTATACTTTACTAAACGTGTATGTTATACTATACTAAACGTGTATGTTATACTATACTAAACGTGTATGTTATACTATACTAAACGTGTATGTTATACTTTACTAAACGTGTATGTTATGCTTTACTAAACGTGTATGTTATACTTTACTAAACGTGTATGTTATACTTTACTAAACGTGTATGTTATACTTTACTAAACGTGTATGTTATACTATACTAAACGTGTATGTTATACTTTACTAAACGTGTATGTTATACTATACTAAACGTGTATGTTATACTTTACTAAACGTGTATGTTATACTTTACTAAACGTGTATGTTATACTTTACTAAACGTGTATGTTAAGGACACGTTCATAAAAAAGGTGCAATTCAGCTCTCAATTTTTTTAGCCAAAATTTGTTTTTTGTCAAAAATGAACCTTAATATTGACCAACTTCAACCAAACTTTCAGAATATGCTTGTTTTTACATAATGAAGGCTATGTTGGCAGAATAATTAACAAATATTGATATTTGGGCAAGTTATGACACAAAACTCACTTTTGTGACTTTGGAAGCCACTCACCCATTCATTTAAAACCAGATTGTTGTGCAACGTACTTGAAGGTGTTTAATACACACTTTTAGGTAAGTTAAGCGATAAAGGGTCAGAGAGTCACATATAAATGGCTGAGATAGAGCAAAAAAATCACAATATGGCCAAATTTGTGGAAATTAACGTTTTTAACGATAGATAGCCAATATCAAAGTTCAGAAACAATTTTTTACAGCTCAAAATATGGCGCAAGCAAGAAATTAATCAATTATTTTCTGTTAAACGGTCACAATCGACACAAAAATCACATCTAATTTTAAAACAAAGTTTTAATCATTTTCTAGACTCATAATTAGACATTTAGACTGTTACTATTTTGTTTTGCTACATTTGAAATTATCTTAGACTGTTCTGAGCATGTAAGGCTACATATAAAACACATTTATCACGTTTGAAAGTTTGAAATGCGAGAGATTGAGTTTATTTCTCAAATTTGCCATCGTCACTTAATTATCTTCTAAAATAGAATATAAATGATGAATCTTAGCTTGTTTGATTCTCCTATCTTATGTTCAAGTGATATAGGGCTTGTTTCAGACAATAAAATCACATCAATTGGTTAAATTAAATCCAATAAATTGCAATATGTATGATAGAGAAAGACCAACTGTGTTGTATCATAGAACTATAAAATCGATCTGAAATTGCTGTTAAAAAACGTTAAAAACTGGTAAGTTGGTGCCACTGTTGACTCAAATATCACACAGCACACATGCCGAAACTCCTTCATTAACTAGAGACAATAAAAGTTGATGATATAGAACGCAGAATAAAATTAACTCTGTGGTTCAGCAAATAGGTCGAGATTTTTTCGTGTGATTATTGTGCCAATAATTGACCGAATATCGATTTCAATGAACTTTTCAGGTCTAAAATTGTCTCAAGAAAAAGATTTGATAGCATAGAAAACGCATACATAATCGTTAATGGGCTGAAACTGCAATTAGATAGTCACAATCGCCTTTTATACGTGATTTTTGTGTTCAAAGTCGGCCTTTTTTGTCATCATGCCTGACACTATTGTTCATTAATCAATTATAAACGATTTTGATAGCTTCAAAACCGATTTCCGCTTCAAATATCACACTTGACTTGAAAACTACAAGAATAGAAAATAAGTTAGGACTTTATCTTGTGTGATTATTGTGCTAAAAATTGACCGATTATCGATTGAAACCAACTTTTCAAGTCTAAAATGGTCTCAATAAGAGATATAGACCAAAGAGCAATGAAAAAATGTACGATAAATGGGCCTGAACAGGAAGTTGATAGTCACAGTAACTTTAAATATGTGATTTTCGTGTTAAGTTTTTGCCTGGTGTTACAGTTTTCAATTCAGATTACTATTTAAAGTGTTTAGTCAAATTCATGATACATAGCAGCAGTTCAAAACCTAAAACACGGTAAACAAAAACAAACACACGAAGTACTGACAAATTTACTGCCTAGTAACACACTACACAGAAATGTGATTATTGTGTGGAATTTAGCCCCACTTTGGCAAGCAGAATCACGAAACTCAAGAATGTATACACACACGATGACATCTAGCAACATTTTAATATCCAATTAGTGAATTAAGCACTTCAAATTCACCTCTGAAAATCGGCCATTTTTTACATTGAAATGTGATTATTGTGCTAAATTGGCCCTCTTAACGAATAAAAACGTGTAGAATCGTATCATATGACTGATAAGAACTTGTACTATCAATATTGACCATACAAAATGAAAAATAGGCCCCATAATAGAGGTTGTGTTAAACCAAAAATAGAAATTTTGTGACTTTTGTGTTATTTTCAGAGCCCCAAACTAAACGACTATCACTCCGTAACTAAGGAAAAAAATTATTTGGCGATTTCAGCATTGCAAAATTTGAACGTTTAACTTAACCATGGGATTATTATCATGTTTCTCATTTTGATAAGAAGACACAAAAATCACAGTTAACAAATTTTGGCTGAATTTCATCTTTTTTATGAACGTGTCCTTATACTTTACTAAACGTGTATGTTATACTATACTAAACGTGTATGTTATACTTTACTAAACGTGTATGTTATACTTTACTAAACGTGTATGTTATACTATACTAAACGTGTATGTATACTTTACTAAACGTGTATGTTATACTATACTAAACGTGTATGTTATACTTTACTAAAACGTGTATGTTATACTATACTAAACGTGTATGTTATACTTTACCTAAACGTGTATGTATACTATACTAAACGTGTATGTTATACTATACTAAACGTGTATGTTATACTTTACTAAACGTGTATGTTATACTATTCTAAACGTGTATGCTATACTTTACTAAACGTGTATGTTATTACTTTACTAACGTGTATGTTATACTTTACTAACGTGTATGTTATACTATACTAAACGTGTATGCTATACTTTACTAAACGTGTATGTTATACTATACAAACGTGTATGTTATACTTTACTAAACGTGTATGTTATACTATACTAAACGTGTATGTTATACTTTACTAAACGTGTATGTTATACTTTACTAAACGTGTATGTTATACTTACTAAACGTGTATGTTATACTTTACTAAACGTGTATGTTATACTATACTAAACGTGTATGTTATACTATACTAAACGTGTATGTTATACTTTACTAAACGTGTATGTTATACTTTACTAAACGTGTATGTTATACTTTACTAAACGTGTATGTTATACTATACTAAACGTGTATGTTATACTTTACTAAACGTGTATGTTATACTTTACTAAACGTGTATGTTATACTATACTAAACGTGTATGTTATACTTTACTAAACGTGTATGTTATACTATACTAAACGTGTATGTTATACTTTACTAAACGTGTATGTTATACTTTACTAACGTGTATGTTATACTTTACTAAACGTGTATGTTATACTATACTAAACGTGTATGTTATACTTTACTAAACGTGTATGTTATACTTTACTAAACGTGTATGTTATACTTTACTAAACGTGTATGTTATACTTTACTAAACGTGTATGTTATACTATACTATACGTGTATGTTATACTTTTACTAAACGTGTATGTTATACTTTACTAAACGTGTATGTTATACTATACTAAACGTGTATGTTATACTTTACTAAACGTGTATGTATACTATTCTAAACGTGTATGCTATACTTTACTAAACGTGTATGTTATACTTTACTAAACGTGTATGCTATACTTTACTAAACGTGTATGTTATACTATACTAAACGTGTATGTTATACTTTACTAAACGTTGTATTTATACCTATACTAAAACGGTATGCTTATACTTTACTAAACGTGTATGTTATACTTTACTAAACGTGTATGTTATACTTTACTAAACGGTAGTTATGACTATACTAACGTGTTTGTTACTTTACTAACGTGTATGTTATACTTTACTAAACGGGTAGTTACTTTACTAAACGTGTATGTTATACTTTACTAAACGTGTATTTTTATTAAACAAAGTGTATTTTTATACCCTTTTTTAAAAGTTATGGGTTTTATTTACTAAAGTGTATGTTTTTAAATTAATAAAGTGATGTTATTTTAAATAAAATTTGTTATATTACTTTAAAAGTGGGAGTTTTAATACTAAAGTGGGATTGGGTTTTATTTCTAAAAGTGTAGGGTTTAAAAAAAACTCCCCGGGGATGTTAAAAACTTTTTAAAGTGTTTGTTTTTACTATACTAAAAAATTGTTTTTATATATTTTAAAGGGTTTGCTAACTTTACTTTAAATATTGGGTTTTTTTATAAAAAAGTGAGGGGATCCCTTTTCTAAAAGTGTATGGGTTAAAACTAACTTAAACGTGGGATGGGTTTACTTACAAACGGTATGTTTTTATAAATTTTAGTGCAAACATTCTTTTTAAAGTGTATGTTAACACTAAAGTGGGATGGTTTTACTTTTTCTAAAGTGTTTTATTTTTTTTACTAAACGTGTATGGTTTTAAATATCTAAACCCTGTAGGGTT